GCGCTTCCTTTGTGCGGCCGCGCTGGGCCCGCCCCGTGCCCTCCCACCCCGTCCCCGCCCCCCTCCGCAAGGCGCTGTCTGGCCTGCGGCGGGTTAGGAGGACAGATTTAGGTTCGGGAGGCGAACGCGACGCCACGAGGATGGCTGCCCTCGCCCCGTCAGAAGTCCTCAGTGGCTTGGAGGTTGGGTCTTCCGCCTAGGCCAATTCAGAGGCAATAACAACAACCATCAGTAATTGAGTGCTTAATATGTGTCAAGACCTCCATGCACGCACTCTCAGTGTTCACAGTAACCTTACAAGTAGTCATTATCCTCTCCACTGGGAACTGAGGATCAGAAAGGTTAAGTAATGACCAAAGTGACCCACCTACACCTCCATAAACGGGGATAATGCCTACTCTTTAGGCTTACTGTGAAAGCTAACTGAGGACATTTATGTAAGTTGCCGGCATTGCCTGGCATACATAAGGAGTCCAATGTTACTCCTCCTTAAACCACTCTGGTTTAAACTGAATTGTGGCGAAGCCCATTCATTCAGCAGATATGCTAGGAGATGTGGAGTTACAAAAGACTACAAAGTGACTCAAGTCTCACCCTCCCTCCCAGGCTTTAGGCTGAGTAGACAACAGGAATCTCTCCCCGCTTGACTTCTCTCTATTCCCAACATTTCCCCATTTTCTTGCCTTTTTTGAGCATTCATAACCACCCACCCCCACCTTTCCCCTTCAGGCCAACCTCAACCCTTTTTATTTGTTTCCACATTTTACATTTATTTTATAGTTCTTGATTGTCTACTTGGCTCCCTTTCTCTTTTCCCCATTCCCTTTCTTTCCTTTCTAGTATTTTTCAAAAATTTAAAGCCTCCTTTTATAAATATTCACATTTCCTCCCCTTTCTGCCTTTGCATTCCTTACACTTACGTTTTATAAATGAAGGTAACGTGGGCTCGACTGCTCAACTTCTCTCTATGTCCACACTTTCTGCCTCCCTACCTTTACTTCCACTGCTCCCTCCTGGAATGCCCGTTCTCCAGTTCTGCATGTCCAGGTCCTACCTATCTTTCAAGGTCTAGACTCAAGAACAGTGGTCGACAAACTACTTCTGTAAGGGACCAGACAGTAAATATTTTTGACCTTGCAGGGCATCTGGTCTCTGTTGCAACGACTTAGCTCCACTCTTCTAGCAAGAAAGCAACCACAGATAATACGTGTATGAATAAGCGTGGCTGAGTTCCAATAAAACTTTATTTATGAACCCTGAAATTTGGATTTCATATAATTCTCATGTATCATGAAATACTATTCTTCCTTTGATTCTTAAACATTTTAAAATGTGAAAACCATGAGTAACCTGTGGGCTGTACAAACACTGGTGATGTGACGAATTTGGCCCTTGGGATGCAGTTTGCCAATCCCTGCTCTACAACAATGCCACTTCCTCTCTGTAATCTATCCTGATAATCTCTACTTGGTAATAACTTTTCCCTCTTAGAGCATTTACCCATAATCCTTTTATGGCATTTCTCACATTTTAGTTTTTATTGTACTTTTTTTCTGTGCATTTCTCATCTTTCCCGGTAGACCTTAAGCTCCTTGAAGATTGGGCACAGATCTTATTTCTCTTTGTATTGCCTCCCATCCCAGTGCTTTGCACAGAACAGACATTCAAACATGTACAGAATGGATATACAGTTAAGTCTTGGGTGGTTGACAATTGATTCTACTGTGCAAAGCTTACTTCTTTCATGAGATAGTACCGCAGGAGCAGGATGCTTGTTATGTCAAGATGGATATCATCTTGATTAGATTTCAGGAAGAGATTTTTGAGAGCTTTATAGACAAGGCAGAGAAAGGTGAGCAAATGTTGGTTCATTCAAGGGTTGTTGATAACAATTACTTGAATAAAGAATGTTGGTTATCACCAACCTGCAGACAAGGCAGGTGTCCTCAATCTGGGTCCTATTCAATAGTTCTATCAGCAAATTGGATAGAGACAAAGAAAACATGCTATATAATATACAGATGGCAAAGTTAAGCAGAGGAGTTCGTATAATAACAAAATTCAGAAATGAAACATTCCTGCTCCATCACGTAGTCTCTCTGTACTTCGATTTTCTTATCTTTAAAATGGTTCCTACTTCAGAGGGTTATTATAAGGATTAAATGAGGAAATACACGTAAAGCCTGGCAGAGAGAGCTCAGTAAATGTTAGCTATTAACTATTACTATTTTCTTGCTAGGCTGGAACTATGGGCTAAATTCACAAGATGTGGGGCCATGAGTACAACGTCCCGACAAAGGAAGGTGAGGGAGTGACACTTGGAGCCAGTCATGGTATTGCCCTTTCATAGCTGTGTGACCTGGAGCCTCTTCAAGCTTTTGGTTTCCTCCTCTGAATAATGGGGACAATTTCTCTCTCAGGGTTACTATCATGAGTGAGTAAAGGAAAACTTAGAACAGTATTTCTAAGTAGGTGTTCAACAAATTTTAGTTCCTCCCTACCATATCATGCAGATTTTGGAAACAGTCGTCCTGTCCCTTGAAGGGCTTATAAAGCTAGCTAGGTCCAGGTGCCCACCTATGGTGACTGGTGGATTTTTATATTTGGAATGAATGTGCTTAATTTTGGGGATCACACTTTAAGAGAATTAATGAAAAGGTAGAAAATACAAGAATGACCAGAATGGAGGGAATGGGGGGTTTAGATACGTGATAGGTGAAAAATGAAAAAAAGTCTCAGATATTTAGTCTTGGGAATTCTCTCTCTCTCTCTCTCTCTCTCTCTCTCTCTCTCTCTCTCTCTCTCAGAAAGAGACATAACTGTCTACAAATACTATAGGAGATGGACTCTGTTACAATTTACAAGACAGAATCACAACCAGTGGTAGAAGTTCCAGGATGACAGATTTGGGCTTAATTTGAAGAGTTACTTTGCTGATAATATAGAGAAGTTCCACAGTGGAATGGGCTGCTTTTCAAAAATGGCAAACGCCTTATCTTGCAAGTGTGCCAAGAGGATGGATGATCGCTTTCCTTTTACTTTTTCAAATGTTCTTTCTCCATATTACTTTTTTCCCCTTGTCGTTGATCCCATCCTCCATTCATTAAAGGACATTTATAACCTCCCCCACTCCTTTGTCCTAAAATAATTTTCTTCTCATTTCTCCTTCTTCAGTTTCCAAACTCCTTTTCTCTTGGCTATCCCCACCCCCACCCCAGCACACAGTCCAATGACTGGAACTGCCTCCCTGAGTTGTAGGTGGCCCATGGCTCAGAACGTTACTGAGATCTGGGCCAAGACGGCTGTGTACACTGGCAGAGAGGGGAGGGAAAGCAAACAGACTGCTGTAAAGGCAGAGGTACTGCTGTGACTCTCCCATCAGGGTAGAGGGATGCAGCAGAGGGAAACCCAGGTCATGGAAAAGTCCACTTGTCACTGGACACTCACAGGCAGGCAGACGGGGATCCCAGAGCTGAGCACTGCTCCTTCAAAGATGCTTTCCATGAGCTGAACTCATTCTGAATCCCCTTCTAGCTTCCCCTAGGGACTTCCCTTATCTTTGATCTACGCAGCCATCTTGTTATATTTCCTATTTCAAGAACTCCTTCTCATACCAAATGAAGCAGAGAATTGAGACCACTGGAGACCTGCCTGAACTCTCAACTTGGCATATGTATATGTAGATTCATCTGACAACAATGATATGTAAGCCTTAGAGTCTGGATCTAGAACTTTCACGTCTCCTTTGCTTGCTCTCCCCTTTTACCTTTATGCCTTCTGGGTTTTTATCCTTGGTTCATCTCTTTTCCCCCGTTTCTACCTACCCAGCTTCCTTGTTGCCCCTTTGGACTTTCAATAGTTTCCCCTCCCATTCGAGATGTCCAAGTGAAATGTGCCAAGGGGTGACAAGGAAGGCCGCCTCTCTCCCCTCTCCCAAGGGCCCCGCTACACTTCATACCGTGAGCTGGGCACTGCTGGGTGTTAGGGCTCTTGGGTACAGGCAGGCCACCAGGCATGGCAGTGACGATGGCTTGCTGATGCGGTGATGGACCAGACTGAGTCTCAGGTACACTCTTCTCCCCAGGTACCACTTCCTTCCAGTCATCTGGGGTGCACTGCTGTGGCTGTTAAAGGACAGAGATGCTCTTCTCATGAATTGCCTTTTACATTCTGGACACGTCCCTTGTTTCTGTGGAGCTTGGGTAGAAGGCAAGGACATTAAGATTCAGCCGGCCCCAAATTAGAGAGAGGCCCCTTTTCTTTCTTGGACTACCCGGAGAGGACTTCACCACTCAGCCCACCCAGAAACACAACCAAATGGGGGCTGTGGGATTGCCTGAGCTGTGGACCCCACCACGCCTTGCCCCATTTGTTCCCTGAACCTTGGGATCACCTTACTCACCACTGGTGAAGCAGGCTGCAGCTGTAAGATGACAGCTGAGGCGTGCTGGAACCTGCGTTGAGGGGTGTGGGACAGGCCCTCAGGATATCCATTGTGAGGCCCCGCGTCTGGCGTGGAAGCGTGACAATGCTGAGTGCTGCCAGGCTTGTGCAGGTTGGCAGTGGGACATTGGAGAGGCAGGGTGGACGTAACTGGGCCTAGCGGCATGGCGTGGGCCTCGGGGCTGGGCTGCAGGGCCACACTTGGAGGGATGGAGGCAAGCTGGGGGTGGGACTGGGCCTGGAGTACGGGCCGTGACTGCTGGGGCTGCTGCTGCTGTGGTGCTTGCTGTTGCTGCTGTTGGATCACAAACTGGGGCTGCAGGTGCTTCGAAGATGGCTGTGATAGGAGCTGTTGTGGCTGTAGCTGAGCATAGGCTGGAGGGGAAAAGACCAGGTTACGTGGCATGGCTGGACCTCGTCTTCTGCCATGTCCCCCCAACTGTGCCCCTCCCACATCCACGTAAAAAAGGCTTCCCAAACTCAGTGTCTCTTGCTTTCATCTTTCACCTGGAGCCCGGCCTGGTCACTGCCATGACCCAACTTTCTCCATTTTCTTGCTTTCTTCCTATGCTGAAACATTAGGCCTTTGGCTGTCTCTCAAAGCCCAGTGCAAAAGTCACCTCCTCTGCGAAGCCTTCCTTGATCATTCCTGCTGTTCAGAGAAATGGATTCTCTAATGTCCCGTGTTCGCGCTCTCCTCCATGCCCTTTACTCACTTTTCTCTGTGCCTGCAATGCATGCAGCCTCCCATCGCCCAAGCCAGTTCTGTCTGGCTAGTTCTTATTCACCCTCTGGCTCTGCTCAGGCTGGCCTCCTCCTGCAAGTGCCAGTTACACACAGTGGTGCTCAGACTCTGGTGGGAGGCAGACCAGGGCTGAACGACCAGTTCCTTCTGTTACATACTGGGGCACCTTGGGCTAGGTGCTTAACCTTTCTAGGCCTCAGCTTCCTTGTCTAAAAATTGGAAAGAGGAATAGCTCCTGCCCAGAAAGTCGTTGTAAGGATGAAATAAGAAAAAAAACTGCGTGAATAAAATGGGAGAAAAATGACATACTGTGCATAGCACAGTGCCTGGCTGCACACAGTCAGATTCCATCATTTCTAGCTATAATTAGAATGATTATTTCAGTCCTGGTTTGGGTTCTCAAAGTACCCCGGGCCTACCTCTATCATAACAACGTGAACCACAGTGGCTATAATTGTTTTTTAGCTGTCTTCCCTTCTGGATTATGAACCCCTTATGGTCAAAAACTATCGCGTATCTCTTTATCCAGAATCTCACGTAGTGCCTGCCATTAGAAGGGTGCTAAGTAAGTAAACTCATTGTCCTGGAGTGGAATTCATTTATAGCCATTTGCTGCTAGGCTTTTCTTCCTCCATTTTAACCAGACTGACTCTTTGAGGTGAGGATTCTTATACTTTTTCTTACTCCCTACAGCTTCTAGCTCATGCCTTGTATACAGGGAGGGAATCAGGAAATTCAGCTCAGAGATCAACTGCCCTAACGCCGCTCCCTCTCTGTCTAGGGGCATCCAGGCCAGCTTAGCATGAGGCCCCGCACAGAGACTCCCACAGCTGGAGAGCCAGCAGAGAGAAGCACAGAGGGTCACGGCTGGAAGCTCACAAATGGATTTTTACAACTAAAGGCTCCTGGCCAATGAGGATGAAGGCAGATTCTGGGTCCCGAGCTAACATTTTAAAAGGATACTGTGCCGCGTACAGGTGCAAAGCAAGCAGATTTCAAACTGAGTGAAGGGTGGTACCTTCCTGAATTTTGTCCATTTACATGCAAGTTTCCAACTATCTCATCACAGCCCAACACAGAATTCCAAGCGGACCACCGCCAGGAATAGAAAGGAAAGGACGGAAGTAAGAGGCGTGAAGGAAAAACGAAGTGGTCCTTGCTGACTGTTGTAGGCAGAGAGAGAGGGAACAGGATCGCTCACAGGGTTACACTGTGGCTGCCGATCAATGATGGAAGAGGGAAACTTGGATGGCGATGAGGTTTGGAGAGAATTGAGCTGGGTTTGAGGTGATGGTGGAGTGTCCAGGTGGAAATTGCCAGCAGGCATTTGGTGATTATAAATTGCCCCTGACCCCAACCTAAGCCTTGGCTCCTAATTCCACACTGAATAGCTCAGAACTTAACAACTAGGCAAAAATTGTTCATCAGGCAAACTGCTGATAAGGCACGTGAGAGATACTGGAGATGCCACGCTGTGTCATTAGGCTCTGGCAGCCAAGAAAGTCTGCAGAACGATGGGCATCCTCACTGCAAACTCAAGTCAAACCTTTTCTCCCTTATCACAGAACCATGCATTCCTGGCTTGGAAACAGTCACTCCAGGGGCTGCCCATCTGAGGTGCGAGCTGGAGATGGTGCAGGTCAGAGCAGCTACGAGGATCAGTGGCATGTCCCACTACTCGCCCGCTCTGTGGCCTGAGACGGGTCCCTTTCTTTCTAGGGCTTCAGTTTTATCTGTGAAACAAGAGGTTTGGGCTAGGTGATCCCACAAGTCTCTTTCAGCTTTACGATATGATGGGGGTGACTATCACAGGAAAAGAGTTTAAAATTCAGGATTTAAATGGTGGAAGAAAGGTTAGCGACGAAAAATGTTCTAGATCTCTTTAGCATAAAGAGTACAGTTAGGGACAAGACACATTTGTTTACCAAGACGGGGAAAGGCAACTGCTGGCCTCCTGGGCCTCTATCCCTGGTCCTCCCCTCCTGTCCCACCCTGTGCAGCTCATGGAAACCAAAGGCAATTGTTTTAGAACAAATGATAATAGTATATGCCAAGGCTGGAGACAAAGCTCTTGAAAGCTTAGATAAGTCCATAGGTCAAAGGCCCCAAGGTGTTTTCGGTAGAGTATACATCCTTAACCTTTTGAGGTTAATGAAAAGCAAGTACCATGATTTAACTCCAGCATTATCCTGGGTCGAAGGTCCTTTTATTTAAAATATTGCAATGGCCTTCTAATGAGTCTTTCTGATTCCAGCTTCTTTTCTCTGTAATCCACCTTAGGACGACTGAAAATTAATCTTCCTGGTGCACAGATCTGATCCCTGATTAGAAGCCATCAGGGGCTCTCCTTTGTCTGTGGCTGTCTGGAGTCTCTGCCGTTCAAGATCTTTTTACAATACAAACTAACATTTTAATTTTTATTATTTCTTTGAGCCAAGCAGTCTTTACTGTTCACTGTCCCCTGGACAGAGCTTATGCCTTATCTCACACTGTCTAGAGTGCCACAAATCAGCTTCTTGTCATCCTTTCCCTGTCCTTTCTCTGAGCTGCTTGGAGGTCTCTCTGCTTTGCACAGCCCTCAGAGATGCAGCATTTCCAGCAGTGTGGGCTCTAGGGTCAAACTGCTTGCATTTGAATCCCAGCTCTGCGACTGACCAGCAGTGGGATGCTGGCAAGTTACGTGACCTCTCTGTACCTGTGTCATCATCCTTAAAACGGGGGTAATGATGATACCAATCTCCTAGTTATTTCAGTAAACGTCTCATCTCCTTTCGTAGGCAGAATGAACAAGTGAATGACGACATGGGACAGCTCCAGATTGTCTGTCCCACAAAACTTGTTCCCTCCAGAGCCAAGTGGATGAGATGGGTGTAGCCCCACAGACCATCCGGGTTTGATCTGCATTCTGGTTTCTTGAAGACCCTCCTCCTGTCCAGCCTCTGCTCACTACCTTCCTGCACTAACCCTCAGCCTACCCTAACTGCTCTGCTCCTTATCCATGAAGCATCACACCCCTGTGCCTTTTTGGCTTCAATTTCAGTGCCTCCATTTTCTGGAGTTTCCTCCTTCTGCTGCAGGGATCTAAGGCATAAGCTTCTCTGGCCCAGGCTCAGCTCCTGTTGTCTCCCTCTTTGCCTTAACCTTCCGTTATGGGTTTTCCCCTGAGAACTCCTGAATGCTTTTATTGTTTGATTCATTTGTGATTTAACATGTACTATCTTGTATATGTATTTCATAGATTCTTAAAAATGGATTCTTATGCCCCCCATTTTAACGTCTTCTGAACTGGGATGCATAAACAGCTGATGATGTCGGTTTAATTGGCAGTACTTCTCTTTCTTAAAGTTAAAAAAGTAACGGTGCATCTTACAATCAGTGGTGTCTTAGGTTAAATTAAATGGGAATACTTTCATTCTTTTGTGTTTATTTCCTATCTATCCAACCAGACTATATGGCTTTTGAGTCAAAGACATATTTTATGTTTCTGATTTTTCTTAATTAAAAGATGTGCTTTAATTTAATTGGAAGGTGTTTATGTTTCTTTTACCTTCCACATTATCCAATATAATACGCTACCCGTTTGTAGATGCTTAGCAAATGTCTGCTACCGATTGTGGTAAGTTCAATGAACTCTTCTCCCTCTCCCAGCCCTCCCAGCTCAGTTAGGGGTGGTGAAAGAAGGCATTTCCCACTGAAGCCATGATACCAAGGAGGCCACGTCACTCTTCCCTATAGTTAGGACGGGGCATATCAGTTTATGAACTATTAATGCACAGAAATCTCTTTGGACCTTTCTTCTTATTTTTTTCCTAAGGTCCAGAAGCTTCGTTTCTTTCCTGCACCCACTTTGGCTCCCCCATGCCTTGCTGCTGGCAAGTTCATGGCTTCCAAGGAACAAAGGAATCTCTGCCAAAGCTTTGGAAGGTCTCATCAGCTCTTTCTGCTATGGAGCAGAGGAGGGGCAGGCCTGGGGCCTGCATGAATTAGGGCTCAGCTCAAAGGAGAGACTCTAGGCAATAGTCTGGTGCGCTAAACTTGAACAGCCATCTTAGAATCAGAAGCCAATTCGCTGCTCCCAAACCACTGGATGTTAGCAACAAGAGGATCAAGATCCCCTAGGCAGGGGGGTTGACTGTGAGGGGTTACTGACATGCCCCCTTCACTGCATCCACTGTTAACTTATCAATAATTGATCTCTATTGATCTCAAGGCTTCAAGTATGCAGGAAACAGCTCGCTCTTCCAGAAATGCTGGGTCTCCTGTCCCAAAGTATATGGGAGCTGCAAGCGTCCCCGTCCATCCCAGGCATAGGCTGCAGGCTTGCCTTTACACTTATTTTTCTAGGAGTCAGCAATAATTAACTAGCGTTTGGAGCTACTGGAATATGGGCGAGGGGAGGGTGCCTGTGAGAGGGGAGGCGTAACTTTTTACTACCCACAACTCTACAGGGTTTAGAAAGTTAAGAGATCCTTTCAACCATTCATTCACTCAATAAACATTACTAAGCACCCACTACAGACCAAGCACTATGTTTGGTGTTGGCTAAAACATGGTCCCCAGAATAGATTACAATTTAGTAAAAGAGACAGCTGGTAAACAGATTCTCTCAGCATAACTTGGTAAATGTTAT